TCAAAAATTTCCTTCAGAATACTTCCTCAATTTTGTGTGTATATAGAAACCCCCATATAATATACAAAATTTGACATAATATGTGTGTACATAAGTTAACCTACATAATTTGTTGGTAGAAAATGTGATATCCTATATGTTTTATATAAATGTACGTGTGTTTATGTAAAAATTCATGGATATTTGATTCTTAATGCTTTTTATATAAAAAAACATTAAAAAAATTTTATTCGATAAAAAAGTCGGGCGTACACCAACCATATTTATTTGAGGGAGTAATAAAAATAACTTGTGAATAACTTTGTGAAGTTTATAAGGAGAGAAATAGAAAATAAAAACAAACATTTTAAAAACAAAAACAAAATTATTAAAGAGCGCACATGATAATAAAATGATTATAAATAAAAAAAAATTTAATCATAAAATAAGGAAAAACAAAAAAGAGAGAATAGCTATTTGGATATTTTATTAAAATTGACATTTTATTATAATATGTTGGAAGAAGAGAAGAAAAAAAACCAAAGAGCATAAAATGTTGAAGTGAGGAAATGCGGTTGAAAAATGAAATTATGTTGAGAATATTAAAATAAACTTTTCATTACAACAAGGCTATGTTTGATTGATTACAAAGCAAATTTAGTTTGTTTGATATTATGCTTTTGTTTTCCTAATAAAATGTTGCGAATTATAAATTTCATTTAATATTTTGTGGATATGTATGTCCTTGTATGAAGAGTTTCTTTTTAATAGAATTAATGTTGGCAATGTTTAAGAGCCCTTTATTTTAAGACAAAAAAAATTAATTTTGAATTAAAAGTTTTATAATTTCTACTATATGTGACCCATATAGTAACTTATCGCTGTAAATGTCTTAGATTCTTTCTAATGATGAATACATGTTTAAAGGCTTTCATTACAATATTTTACATTAAAAAATTAAAATTGTGATTTTGGTATTAAATTGAAGTTAATTTTGTAATCTACCTCAATTTTTCAATAAAATAAGACAAGAATTTGAAAAAGTCTTGTAATACAAATTATATTAGCGAGCATGCGACTTTGTTAATAGCTCTTATACACAAACGTTAGATCATTCTTGAATTTAACTAAAAATATTTGTGTATTTCTATATCATACCAAAAACAGTAGAATATTTTGACCGTTGATATTTTGTTATAATTTTTGCTCATTTCCTCATTTTTATAATATATCTATCATTCAATCATATTAAGTAATACAACACTTTTTGTAATTATTATATTACCTCATCATAATTTATTTTATATAGGATTTTCCAATTACAACACAATATAATGAAATTATTTAATCATACATATACGAATTTTCCCATTTTTTTTTTTTTTTACATTACATAAATTAAATAACATTATATTTCTTCCGAAAAATAATAACCTCATTTTCTGTTCTATAGAAAAACAATTATACAATATAACATTGAACATCTAATAAAGTATTGTATGTAAATAAAAGGTATAACAGTAAATAATATTGTCAGAATTACTTTTAATTTTAATTAATAACACGTGATTTATAACAATCATTGCCACAAAATTTTGTAACACAAAAAAAAAAAAACATCAATGTCATACTTGATTATAAAACTTCTTCAATTATTTTCTTTTAAATATAATTTTATTAAATAACTCCAGGTGTTTTGTAAATTATATTTTCTATTATATATATATATATATATATATAATTATGTAACATATTATGTGTATATTTTGTAAAAAATGTCAAATACAAAAGAAATTCTAATCAATCGTATATAAGATGAACGTGGTGGGTATTAAAAAATGTGGTAACAAAAAACTAATTTCAACAATATTTTTTATAATATTACAACAATATATAATTTCAATTGAGAATGTCAGTTGTCATAAAATCATATATTTTGAATAGATATATATTTTGAGATTATTTTCAAATTCAAACGCTTCAAACTTCTCAAAGGGTATAGATGTGAATTTCTGTAAAAGTTTGACTTTATATTATTATTATTAAAATTGTATAAGTAATTTTGAACTGTATATAAAAATTCTAATTCCATTATAGACGACATTTAGAGAACTATATACTAAAAACCATAAATTAATATTATACCAAATCAAATAATAAAATTGCATACTTATCCCTTAGATTTTTTTTTTTGATTAAAAATGTATAAATTCTCTGCCATTTTATTACAAGAGCTCTTTTATCTACGGTCTTACTCTATATTTAAGTCACTTTCACTACCACAATATTTTTCTTTTCTTTACAAATCTCTCTTAGACATAAATTGATTTATTAAGAATTTTTATTATTCTCAGATCACCCGCATATACATACGTATATATATTTGTATATGCATATAGATCACCTGTAAAACCAATATAATACCAAAATTATTTTCTATTTAAAGTTTATCCTCCTACACTTGTATTATATTATATTAAAAGTAATTTGGGTATATGTACTTCATAAATACTCGTGTATATTATGAATAAAAAGGATATAAAAATATATTTTTTTTATGTCTATATAGGTAAAAAATTTAAGGAATGTTATAAACATAATAAAAAAATTAAATAAAAACAATTACAAAATATATAAATTTCTAATTTGTTTAAGTATATACATATAGATTGGCCATATATCAAAGGTATACAAACATTCTTTACACATATTATATGTAATACATGCATATATCCTACATATTATTCTTGCTCTTATATTCTACATATTTCTCCGGTATCGGAAATCCCAAAATTTATTCAATAAATAAAAAAATAAATAAAATAATAATAAGAAATCACAAACTTATAATTTACTTTGGTTATTTTTTTTTTTTGGTTATTATTTTCCCTCCTTGTTTTTTATCATCACCACATCACTTTATCTTACGACACTTATACGACACCTAGAGAATTCAAAGGATTTCGAAACAAATACACATACCAACATGTTATACAAAATATATGTTTCTAAAAATACTCATTTTATTTCATGCATACATGTGTCAATAATCAATATATAAAAAGTAACTACACATACTTTATATATATGTAATATGCGATTTCAATCATGTTACAGTATTCATACATACCTACTAACAACAAAATAAGAGAAATAAGAAAAAAAATCCCTAAGAATATCCTGAAAGTCCCAAAGTACCCACAAAATTGATTTTCGTTCTCTTTTTCTGTTTTGTTTTAATATTGTATACTTTTTATTCCAAAAAAAAAAATAAACTAAAAAAAAAAAATGTAAAAAGTTATGCGAGTATTGTAGATAATAATAAAAAAGTAAAGAGTAAACAACAAAACAAAATAAGAAAAACTACAATTTTTTTTAACATTTTCTTGTTGTGTTTTTTAAAGAAAAAAAAAAGGATAATTTTCTATATGTAATTTAATAAAAATTTCTGACACAGCAAGGTGTAACTTACATATTTATACACTTACAATGTCTAACTCTTACAATTCATTCAACAAAATGAAATAGATTCCTTCAAAACTTTGAAAGGACACCAAGAATATAAGAATATAAGAAACGGCGAGAATAAGAAGAAAAGGAGAGTATTTTTTTTTTTGTTTTATGTTTTTTATATTTATTTTTAGAACATTTTCAATAATATTTAAAAAAAATATTCTCATTATTAGTTTATTCTTATAATCGTTTGTGTGTCTGTTAACAAAACTGTTATACACTTAAAGAAAAGTGACATTTTATGTATGAAAATTGCTTTTCTGAGAATTGCTTATTACTGGTTCCATTGATATTTTAAGAGAAATTTTGAAATTTTAACAACTTCTATTTATGTAAATTAATTTTATTAGAAAAAAACACCTTTCCTCCTTTAGTTTATCGGCACCCAATTTTTGGGACTTACTTACTTTGAAAAAATGAACTACATCAAAGCAAAAAAAATAATGTTAATTAATGAGCTTTATAACAGTACAATTCTATAAATTATGCTATAATGTACATGCTTTATATAATTTGTTCCCCTATAAGTATGTAATTCGAATATTGTGAATAGAATAATCGGGTTTATTTTGAGTTATCGAATTGATTCAATTATAGCGAAGTGAAAGTAATATTTATCGTAGAAGTTTATATATACGAATCATTTGTATAAATTGGTTTGTGTTTACAATAATATATCGATTACTATTACCACTACCATATTAATAATAATATCGAATTATTATATTCGATATTCAGTATAAACTTCGATTTTTTAATGAAAATAAATGATTTTAAATTACATATTTAAATGAAAATGTGCTTATTTACTAGCCACTATTTTAATCAAAATTTATTATACATGTATATATCAAATTTTAACATACGTCTTTCGCTATTTCTCAATAAAATATTGGAATACCTACTGCACAAATATTATTACATATAAACACAAATATATTATATGGTCACATTTTTAAAAGAAAATACTATACATAAGTATTCTTCATTTACAATAATATAACATTAAATTAGAAGGAAATTGATCCTTAAAAGAAGTGTCTTGACATTATTTGTTTTCAATAAAAAAAAAATAACGTATAAATTTGTTATATAATAAATTGTGTAAAATTAATTTCTACATAATAATATTTAAACCTTATATACATATGTATATAAGCTATAAAATAATCAAAGGTATATCCTTTTTTAATATCCTGTTTTATATAATAAATCATCAGGTTAATAATTTTTTTTATTTTCTTATTATTAAGTTCCGGTCTGTATCCCTTACATGTTTGTGTGTATTTTATAATATACATAAATTGTATAAATGGTAATTAATTAATTTTTATTGCAAAATAAAATATAAGAAAGAAAATATTGAAATGTAAAGTAATATATTAAATTAATAAATCAATAAATAAATCAATATGTTTTAGAAATACATAAATTAATAAAGTTTAATTTAAATTTTATTTAAAAAAAAATTATATAATTAATAAATTTATATATTATTATACTTTTAGATTATCCTGCAATAAAAATTTTTCAACTTCATTATATATAAAAATAATCATTTTATCATTAATGACAATGATTACATCAATTAGATCATCATCTGTACAATTGAAAAATAATATAGGATTGAATATTGGAAAAATATTTAATATAAAAATGTTTAATATGTCATCATTCCTTTATATAATTTTATTTATAAATTATTTAAATTGCAAAGTATATGCAAGCGGTGGTGGCGGTGGTAGCAGTGTTAGTAGTGGTGGAAATATGATTGATACAAAAAATTCATTACAAATGCAAGATTCAAGGATGTTACCCCCAGAAGTTTATCCATGGAATATACTTGGTGTTCCAGGTAATATAATTAATCATATTTATTGCATAAGGTTTTCTTTTCATAAATATTAACAAATGTACAATAAAATTGTTATATAATGAATTTTTGTTACCTATAAGTAAGTGTAATTGTATACGAATATATATATATATATATATATATTGTGTTATATAATAAGATAAATAGTACGAAATTTCGATATAATATAAAAATATTTTGTCATTTGTTTAAAAAATTAAAATTCTTTAAAAATCATTATTTTCTAATCAAAGATGGAAGTAATTACTTTTTATAAGAATTAAAATTGGGTTGAAAAAAATAAAATTTTGTAATTAATTTAAAATTATTTTAATTAACATTAGTATGTGGTGACATGTGTAACGATATTGTAAAGGATAGAAATGGTACTTTCATTATATGAATTTTGTAGATAAATTGTTATAGGAGCATATATTCTCACTGCGTCATTGTTTAAAAAATATTATAGGTTACTTATATGTATGTATAAGAATAGATAAGTTAAAATTTTGTAAGGTTAAATGTTAATTTTGTTTAAAGGTTAAAAGTTGTATTTAATAGCAAAGGTTAATGTGAAGTAAATTGCTATTTCTTTTATATAATCAAATTAAAATAAGATATAAAGTAATCAATTTGATAGATGTCAAAAATATTGTTATGAAAGAAATGAATGTATATATACATATATACTTTCATATATGGCAGGAATATTATTTAAATAATTTTTATTGTGCACATACAATAATACATTTTCTAAATTTTACTTTTCACATAAATTTTTTGTTTATAACCCATTAAATCTACTCTAAATAAGAATTTTCAACGGCAAGTCAAATTTTCTTTCATTTTTGACAATTGTGTTAGTACACAACAAAGTGAGAATTAAAAACATAACGATTCTAAAATATTATAAAAAATTTCAAATAAATGTCAATTAATTGTACATTGTAAATTTCAAATTAAAAATAAAATAAATTTTAAATTTATTATTTTATAGAATTTCTAATATTTATTATTTTTCTTCTTAATTCATTTTAGATTATAGTATTGAAAATGATGTTGCAAAACGTTCTTCATGGCAAAAATTACATGGAACATGGGGTAAACGAAATATTCTTGATAATGCTTATCATAATATGGAAAATTTTGATGAAACAAATAATGTAATTAATGGTGCTGGTGGTGGTATTAATAATCCATCTCCTAATAATATTATGAGCAATAATAATATTGAAGGAGAAAATGATAATGATTTACATGACAGTCCAACAGATCGCGATTATCAAGAATTAATTAAATTTGAAGAAATTTATAGTTTACCATCATCAATTATTAATGATTTATTTAAACCAAATGCATTATATAATGAAAAGAAACGTGCATGGAGAAATTTAAATGTTGCATGGGGTAAAAGACGTCCAAATAATGAATGGAATAAATTTAGAGGTAAGAAAAAAAAAAAGAAAAAATAGTTTCGCAAAAAAAAAAAATTTATATCTATAGGAGTATGTTAACAATTATAGAATATTGAAGTTCTCATCTATATAAATTTAAATAGTAACAAATTAATTATAAGTGAAAGGAATTTTTGTTTTTAAGTTATGATTAATTCAGTAATATGTCTAGAGTCTATTATTGTTCTCTTGACGAATCAAAATTTAAATACGGTGTATAAAAATTTTTTTTACCATTGATACAATTAAAACAAAAAAAAAAAAATTTTCCAGTTGGATATTGTTCCAGATTACTAGGCTGTCTTGATTGGTATAATTTCATTTTGAAATTGGATATTTTAAAGAACAGAGACCCGGAATTAGCGCAAGAGGAATTTGAAGGTAGATTCTCGGTGTCTGATAATATCTGTATTATATACATAAAAAAAAAATACTTAACCAAAAATTTATGCATGTACACATAGTTTTTTTTTTAAATTAAATTCACAAATATACTCGTGTATATATTATACACAATATATATATCAAGCATATATTTTATGTATACGGTGGTGTCCCTATAAGAGAAAATATATGAAAAAATATGCATGCAAAATGTAAATAATAAAATATGAATACTCAATATATTGTTGTTCTCATAATTGTATTTCAAAATCTTGTTTTTAAAATGTATATAATAGGCAGACTGTGTGTCGAAACTTTGATAAGATTTTGGTTTAAAATAACCATTTGCAAGTTTACCTAAAACTTAAATTTTAAAATATGGTATATCTAAAAATATGACCCAACGGAAATTGCTTTTGTGTGTTTTACTTGAATGTGTTTACAAATTTACAATGAGAAATTCATTTACGAAAATATTTGAGGATTATTTTGCATTTGCATGCTAAATTTTTACAGCTAAACAAATGATGGGTTTAAAATTTATTATTTTATTTTTTTGTTGCCCAATAAAGAATTGTATTTATCAAAATATTTTCAAATTATGCACCAAAAGAAAAAAAAATACTTTTTGCACGCTTCAATTAATACACGGCTTTTTGTCCCTTAGAGGTGATTTTCCAAAAATATGAGTTCGAAATTAAGTTTATGGTTTTTGTTGTACATGTATATATGTATGTTTAAAGAACGCCTAAGAACAAAATGTTCATAACTTCCTTTTTGTTTGCTTCTCCTTATTGACCAATATTATTTCACACTACCCAAATATATTACAACTGATCAGTCAAATTGAATTCTTTTAAAGGATATGCTTTATCTCCTTGGATATCAGTACGATATGTAGTGTAATACACGTTAATATCAAAATGCACTTTTGAAAAGAGCTTTTACGGCTGATATTTTTGAACAATTTTAAAATAAGTCTCCCTTTTGATGAACGTGGTGTTATAGTTCGAAATATGCAGGGATTTTATATATTTTTAAACATTAATTGTGGATTCAAAAATAAATTTTCTAAATTATTGAATTTAAATTTTTATTGCTTCTTTGTCACTTAAGAAACTAGTGAATTTTATATTCTCATCAATTTCGTTAATGTGTGAGTATAAATAAATATCCTTTAATAATTAAGTAATGAAATTATACTCAATCAAAAATTAAAAATTTATTTGAAAAATATTAATTTATTTTTATATTAAAAGATTTAAGTGCGAAACTTTGAAAATAATATGAAATTTATTAATTTATTAATTTATAACAAATAAAATTAATAATCAAATATAAAATATCAAAATTTCTAAGTAAAATTAAATAAAATTTAACGATCAGAACTTAGTTTTTAACTATATAATGTTAATTTTAAGTAAATTTCCTTTAAAATATAGGTTATTCATGTTTTCAATTTAGGATTTTGTATGTAAATTATATTGGTGAAAAAAATATATGTATAAATTGGTACAAGTTAAATGTTAGCCCTATCCTTTTAGCCGGCACACTTTGAAGAGTTAATTTGAAAAATTATAAATAACTAATTAACATTTTAAATATAAATATAAATAATAATAGTATGTAATTTAAAATTTGGTTTTATACAATTTTAGGCGCATGGGGTAAACGTGAACCTGGTTGGAATAATCTTAAAGGACTTTGGGGTAAACGTGCATCAAATTGGAATAAATTAAATTCAGCTTGGGGAAAACGATCAACTGAAGATGTTATGGAAACTAATTAAATTTTTCACTCAATAAAATTTTTAATTTCATTCTTTCATTTCCTTATTTTACATTTTTTGTTTTTGTTTCGACTATTCTCAAAAGTTGTAAAAAACTAAAACAAATATTATTCTTATATAATCATGTTTAAAATAATATGAAAAGAAAAATATAATTTACATTATCCCTTAAACAAAAATTTTCAAAAAAAAAACCAAAAAAAAAAAAATAGCAAACAAAATATTTATGTAAAATATTTTTAAAAAAAATATATAAATTAATAATTGCATTGATTTAAAAAATTTTAAATACAATATTCTCCTACAAACATGCATATTTTTAATTCAATATACATATTATATAAAAAGAGAAGTTTTAATGTCAAGTTAATTAACATTATTATTATAATTATTAAATAAAAACATAATCCATATATTATTTTTAATAAATTTTATGTATGTATTTTTTTTTTTAAAAATCAATCATTTTTTTATGTATAAATTTAAAAAAAAAGAATCAAAACTCAACCATTTTTTAATTGAAAATACTTTTGAAGTTGTTTTAATATTATTCAATTTTAAATAATTGATAATATAATAATGAAAAAAATATATTTATTTAATATATGGAAATAAACATATTTTTTTATTCAAATTGGCTGGAAATCAACTTCAAAAATAATTTCAAATAAATACTAAATTTAGCATAATATAAAATAAACCAAATCCAAAATCTCTTTATACACTAATAAATGAAATGTATATTCTAAGAATGATATAACCTATGTATGTAATCCACATTATGAATTAAAATTTATCAAAAACTAAAAAAAATATAAAGTTCCAATATATATTTTATTAAAAACAAATTAAAATACATAATTATAGCAAAAATATTGTTATTTCCCCACGTATTTTGCAAAAAAAACAAAGTAATACATAAATAATATGCAATAAAAATTAAATAACTTCATTGAATAAAATAAAAAAGATTCTTAACAAATACATATATTAATTGTATAGTTTTAATTAAAAAAAAAAAAGCAAAATGATATAATTAAAAAAATATTATTAACATAATTATATTATATATGTATACATAAATTATATTTTATTCATTATTATTATAAATATATTAGAAAAGTGTTATATATTCCTCTAATTAAAAATATTAAAAATAAAACAAAAAAAAAAGCAACCAAATTATTAAGAAAGTATGTTATATAAAGTGTATATTATATATTATATAAATATTTACAACATAATTATATATTAAAATAAAAAATATCAAAAATTATAATAATACTATTTAATATTTTATTAAATTATAGTTAACGATGTACATATATACAAAATTATATATGCATATAATATAATTATTGATGATGAAAGATAAGGAAATAAAAAAAAAAAACTGAAAAAACTATATATATATATAAAATCAAACGAAATACAAACAGATGAATGATGAAAAATAAATATTAAAATAAAAAATGTATTTTATTTGCTTTTAAAAAACCATTAAAGGAATACAAAAACTAAAAACTAAAAAAAAAAAATGTTTAAAATAAAAAAAAAAAAACTTTTAAAAAAATAAATTCAAAGTGTTTAATTATTTAATCGTTAATATTATATCATTTGTGCTAATTTTCATAGCACCAGATGAAATCATTCAAATTTACCATGGCAGTATTAAAGTTCTGAGTTTTGCAACGTTTTATCGTTACGTCCAGGTATTTATTCTTTTATTTATTTACTTATATATTTGACAAATAAAAATTAATAAACAATCAATAAGAATCAAATAAAAATGATATGAGGAAATTCACTCGCTAAACTGGTGTGAGCTATAACTATCGACCAAAATATATATATATATCGACCTAAATGAATCTGAAACATTTGTATTTCGGGCCAGATAAAATTATGGTAATGATAAATGCACAATTCCAAAATATATTGTAATGGCGAGTAAAACATTTAAGAGATAAATGCATAAAAAAATTTAAAAATTTTAGAATTAGAATCTATGAAATAATTTTAAAGGGAAATATATATTAGTATACAAATTGTGTGTTTATCTCCACATCTAGAAGTACTTAACACTCTTAATCTTTAAATAGATACATGCAATTTAAATATTATCGAATAGACATGCATTTTTTCAGGAAATAAATTCAATTTAATGAAATTTAATTAAAAATAAAAATTCATTTCATTCTTGTAAATACATAATCTACTTTTATTCATTCATATACATACTTAATGTATAATTGTAATATTTTTAATATTAACTTGCAATAATTGCTTATATTAATTTTATTCAATACAAAAAAAAAGTACACTCCATACTATATTTATTTATTTTGATAAATCTTTTTATTATATTATAAACTATTTCATGTTTTCATTAAAAATCCTATTTTATTAATTATTTTTTTTTTCCAATTAATATATTATAATTTGGGTATTCGACAAAAATTTATTTTTAAGGTACTTAATTTAGTTATTGATTTTGTTAATTTTAGTATACTTTAATATCGTATCGCTGGATTTGTTTATTTATTTTTTTTTTCTAATTTTTAAATATATAAAAAAGAATTATGTGTTATATATTTTATAATTTTTCTTTTTTATATATTTATATCTATTGAACATTATAATCAAAAATGAAAACTTAATATTATATAAGAAAATAATTTAATTGTAAATCCAGAATTTTTAATGATTTTACAATTTATTATTAGTTATTAATAATTTAATAAATTTCATTTTGAACGGAAATAGATACTTATAACTCGAAGAATATTTTAGATAAGATATTTAAAGTGTAAATTAGAAGTGACTGAATTTAATTTTTTTTTAATAAAGTTTATTTTATATGTTATTATTAATTAGAATTTTATGGAAATGAATACGGTTCAAATTAAAAACTTTTAATAAATTAAAAAAAAAAAAAACAATAATTATGAAAGTATTAAAATTTTGGGCATAAAAATAATTAAATTAAATTTCTTAAATAAAATTAACTATTATTTAACTAATTAAAGCTACACTCATATTTGTTTTATTGAAAAAAAAAAAAATTTTTAAAAATTTCTGTTCTGCAATCATTTTAAATTCTAGTTCTACAAGTTCATTGATTTTATATTAATATTTTCATATCAAAATAGTATACATTTTTACGATATTTAATTATTATATTGTATGTATTTCCTATTATTTTTAAATAAATTATTGTTTTCTTTAAAAATTCTTTACGTTTTTAAAATCGTATTTTTTTTTGTGTTTTTATTTATTTGGTATACAAAATCACTTCTTTGAACTTTTATTATTTTATTTTTAATTTAAATTTACATAAGCAATTTTATTTTTTTTTTAAATATTTGTACTTTGAATTGTTTCGTTTTTATTATTTAAATTACTTTATTTTGTTAAGAGCTAAAAAAAAATCCAATAGTGTAAGATTATAAAATAGATCAAGAACTTAAAAATGGGAATTTGACTTAGAAGCACATATTTTTTATTAAAAATAAATTAGTAGTGCAAATATAAGTATAATATGTAATTATTTTAAATTAAGTTATTGAAACAATCTGAAAATGTTTTTATTATTGCTTGGACGGCTTTATTATATTATGAGTAATTTGGCATAATATTTTTCCTATGTATTTCATGTATAAAGTTTAAGGCAAAATTTATTATTTAATAAAAATTCAATTGAAAGATTAATTTGAACTTGTATGCGTTTTAATAATTGAAGTATATCTGATGAGAGGTGACTATAAAAATTAACAAAAAAAAAAATTTGAACAATAAAAAATTAAAAATTTTAATATTAAATGTCTTAAATAATAAACTTATTTGCATATTTTTCTTTTCTTCAACAAAAACTTAAAAATTACTAACTAATATTTATGGTATGGTTTAATTTTGACTTTTTGAAATAAGAATTTCATATATAAACTTTTTTTCGTGTCTCTTTACAAAAAAAGGAAACGCATTTTTTGAACACACAAATTTCTTTAAAATTTGGTTTCATTTCTTAAGTAGAAAAAAAAAAATTTCTCTACTTGATTGTGGCAAAAAATTAGCAAATATAAACTTTTTTCCTTTTTAGATTTATTGCCTTGCTGATCTTTCCGTTTCCATAAGACATTCTCTGACAAGTATACGTGCATGTACAATACCACGTTTTAAACGTTCTGTAGAATTTCTGGATCCAGTATATGTTGGTCTTATATCACGTCCCATTTCTTCAATTACAGATAAAAGTTGGGCATATTTTGATAAACCATTTGATGTATTCAAATTAGCTGGAATGTTTGCTGTTGATGTCATTGGTGTCGTTATATTTCCTGATGTTGTTGTTATTGTCGCTGGTCCAATTGTTGTTGAAGACAAAGAATCAATATTTGATGAAGATGATCCTCTATTCGAAGATGTTATTAATGGTATTGCAGATTGTAATGTTGTGGATTGAAGTTTTGGTACTGCTGAAATTTGTATTTGCGGTAATTGCTGTTGATATGATGTTGCAGTTGATGTACGATGATTCAATAAATTACTATTACGTGTTGCTGACATAGGTATTGGTGTAACAGTAACATCACTTAAAAAATATAAAAAAAAAGGAATTAGAAAATTTCATACCTATATTCTTTTTGTATTATGATAATAACTTAAGCTATTATACATAGGTATAAATAAATTTGTTATACTTTTACGATAACGTCTAACAATGTTAAATATTTTTCTTTTTAAAATTTCCACTTTGATTATTAAGATAGTGCCAATCTCATACTTTTTTCCAATTGAAAAGCTAAATAAAATTAACTTTTACTTTTTTTTAGAAATTTAGGATTATTTGGGTTAATGATGTAGTTACGCGTATCTATCTGTGTACCTACATATATTATTATGATGTGAAAATGTCATCAAAATTGAAAGTATGTCACCAAATAGATTTTATAAGTTAAATTCTAAATATTGCAATTGACCTTAATTTTCAAGGTGGCGTCAAATTTATTTGAATAAAAATTTCATCTTGATAATTCACAATTAATTAAGCAATATATTTTACTAATATCAATTTTAAATATAATATTTCATTATCTTTTAGTCCAAAAGAAAAAACTTGTTTTTATTTGAGCAGGTTACCTTAATTTTGATTCTACTGCTTGTATATCCATCGCATCCATTTTTCTTGAAAATAAATTCCAAAAAAGAAAATACCAACTATAATAACTGGAAGTTAATATATTTAAAATAATTTTTTTTTTATGAAATTAAAAGAAAAAACAAGAAAATTATAATTAAATTCCAAATTTTCTTTTGTTTTTGTTCTTAACAAAACTGAGAAAGATATGCCTAAAGCTGTTTACAATTTCTACTTTAAATGTCAAAATAATTTTTTGGTTCTTGCTTTAATAAATGTGACATTCTCCATTCTACAAAATTTCGCTCTCTTAATTTTTATATTATAAAATAATTTTGTTTACATACTATTGTGAATTTCTATATAAAAAAAAAGTAAATTGAAAATGATTAGAAAGATTTTCTTTTGGAATAAATAAAATTGATATTTAATGTTTGAGCAGAGACAATAACCATTTATAATTAATTTTAGGTTTAGAACTTTGATTAAAAAGTTAAATACCGTATTAAATATTAAAAAAGTTATTATAGACTTAAATCAAGTTTTCATACCAGTTGATATTCACAATGATCACTTTTACAATAATTTTTTTACGATATAAATAAATATTTATCCGGTATTCGCTAATTTGGTTGTGTTATTTATTTTAAAATGAATAAGTTTTTTACTAGAGGGGAGAGTAGAATGTAGATAGAAATGAAATTATGATAACCATTATACAAAATACTTAATCATTTGTAATATGAAAATTATGAATTATGTTGTTGTTATTATTATGGTAATGAAATCCTTATGCATAATTACGATAGTATATTCTCTAAACAATAAGAATAAAGCACTAAATACAAACGAGTAGCATACAATGTTTCATGCCAACGTGGGTATACAACGCTTCATGCCAATCATCCCTAAATTAATGATTACAATTTCATTTTGGAAAACAATAAACGATGATTAAAACTTAACAAAATAAAAAATTTTTAGTAAATCATAATCATGTCAAGATGTCTTCACATCTATGGTGCTGGTTTTGTCACTATTGAAAAATTATAGCTAATTTTAAATTAAATTATTTTTATCAACTTATTTTTATTAAAAAATTATAACAATAAAAACAAGAATATGCAAATCAAATATACAATTAATTCGGATTACATAATAATATGTAACTGTTTACTGTATAATTTTGAGCTGGAAGTGTTTAAGAAATATCAAAATTTTCATATACCCTAAAATACGGTTTGTAAGCTCTTAATATATTAAATTATTCAACAAAAATTTTATTCAGACATGACTACCTATTTTCTTACTAAATAATAAAAAACAAAATTTATTTTAATTTAAGTGTTTTTTTTTAAAATATTAAAAAATAAAACATAAAAATTCCATTCAATTAAAATAACTGAAATGCCGCCACCTACTTAAATGAAAATAAAGCACCAATTTGATTTATTTGGAACCAGAAATTTACATGTATGGTACCTTTATAACAAGGAGCCACTCATAATACGTGACAAGACCTTCTCCTATACACAAATTATTTTTTAAAAATAAAATTATTATTGAATTTTTAGAATTCTTTTATATAATGGAACGTACATACGTCCAATAATATGAATTACATAGTCACAAAAAAATCTATTAGTAAATTCTAAATGTGTTCCATTAGTACCTATATTTTTTCTTTTCTATCCCAATATTATACGAGAACAATAGATAATAATAAAAAAATTTTTGAAAATCCCCAAAATCTTCATATAAATCATCAGTTTCTTAGAAATTTATTATTTCTCCTATATTGTACAGTTAATTTTCTTTAAAATAAATTTTCGTGCGTATCGTAAAAATAGCTATTCGTTTCATTTACTCATATTATCAAGATCCTTATCTAAAATTGTATTGTTTACAAAATCATTTTATAATTAAAAATATTTTAATAATGTATCATAAATATTGGATATTAATTAATATTTTTGTTAATAAGATTGAATAATATCTATAAATAATATTCTGTTAAGAAATTTTTCAAAATTACAATTAGTATACAATAGACAATATTGATTAATTATGGAAGTGGATAAATATACATATACATATATATATATATATATATATATATATATATATATATATATATACATTTACCTGTATGTAAGAGTGAAATAAATTAGCTGCGAGCTATCTTAAATAATTTTATAAAATTAAATATTATTGAAAAATTCCAATCAAGTATAACATTTTTCAAAATCTATTGTTATCTTATTTTACAGGTAATTATTACTATATCGGTGAGCGCCTATAAAATGTTATATAATGGGTTCTGTTACTAAAATGGTTTCTCCTTTTCCTGATAATTTTATATTCTAATTATCGTTTTAAGACCCCTTGGGAATTAATAATAATATTGTTTTTCCTTATAAAATTTTCTTATTCAATAAAATTTTCATTTAAAAACATAAATTACTACTATGAATAAGAATTTATTTTTAAGAAAATTTTAAGGGCCTATAAATTTTTTACAAATTTTTGATAGTTACAAAATATAGTTTTTAATTAAATAGCTGATACAAAAATATTTTAATATAAAAATAATTTAGAAAAGAAATATTTTAAAAGAATAGTATAATAAATTTAAGCTAACATAGGGTTAATGGTCATTGTTACAGCGTATTGTAATTTGTATGTTGTACAAGAGATGCACGAGTAGCTGGATTACGAGCGCATTATTATATTAACAATTTTTGTAATCTTGTGACAAAATCAAATGATTTTCTTTAAATATATTTGAAATAATGGTGGTCATTGTTCTAAAATTATATTTTATCCCTGATTAATTATAAGAATTTTAATTGAAATATTATTTTATTCATTCCAAAGTTAATCAAGCTTTATTATATAGTTTTATACTGTAGTATAGCACGGGTTTTGAGACATGTATTTCTAAATTCAATTTTCAAATAGTATATAAAGTAAATCCATTGTTTAAGCCCCAAATCTCTCTCATCACATTCCAAGTGAATTATATATGTAACCTGAAACTATTTTTTTTTTTAATTTCCACTAATCATTCATGGACCTAACACTTTTGTGCTTTATAGTAATTTATTTAATTAAGATCAACTTAATTAATTTGTATATTGAATTACAAGAAAAATTTAAAAAAAAAATTCAATATTGAATTTATAATTTCAGCGGATATGTTATAAAAATTACACAAGATTAGAAAAGTTATTATTGAAAAAGATCACGAAGATATTTTAGATTTAAATTATTATTATGCATCGATAATATTATAATCGGTCATAAATACCGTATTCTCAAATTAATTGTTTAGAAATGAATACTGTTTACATGTACATATGTATGTAAGTACGACAAAATCGAAGATTAATCTGAGTCTGAAGTAAATCGTACTTGCAAACTTAAGAGGCAACCTTTAATATGTTTGATATCAGACTTCAATGTTTGATATCAGACTTCAATGGTTGACATCAGTCTATCAACAAATAATACAAGTTGCAGTCTATTCTTAAACTTCAGTCTAATGTGTAAACAGTCGAATAGATCTTAAATTTTGTCACATGCAAATATGAACGGCACCTAAGAAGTATCGTTTGGGTCTCATTGTCTAAAAATGTTCATAAATATTATAAAAATTTGAGAATGTGATTACAATTTTTAATATTTATAATCTTAATTTTTTTAATACTACAATAATCTTTTATATGACATCAAAAGATATAGGCTTCCATATGTCCTCTCAAATTGCAGTAATACGGTATTGCTACACTACACGTTTACGCATAATATTTGACGGCTACAATTAACAAGCTGAATTATGAGTACATAAATATCTAATTCTTGCAATTTTGAAGTGCCGCAATTAACGATTTAATTCTATTCCAATTCTCTTTTATTTCTCTCACACTTATATCTCTCTTAAAACTTTATTTTATAAATGAAAAGTATTAAAAATATTTACCCAAAATTAATTTATCATAAAAGTATTTAATTTCTATGTATACATATATAAATAAAATGCATTCATGTTCATATTAATAACCAATGTAATAGACTCGTAATAACATTTTTTTAAAACAATTTAAAAATCAAAAGAACAATAAAGAAAACATGTGTATTTCTCTCCGGCATGAAAAATCATTAGATTTTTCATTAACAAAAAAAAATTTTTTTACCTTGTATAATTGTTATTAAATTATATAGCCAAAAACAACAACAACCATAAAAATCTCGAATTAAATACGATTATAAAAGCATCTGTAAATCACCTGTTAGATTTAATTAATTATTGTTAGTACATAAAAACGGTGGTAACGAAAACAGATTAAAAATTGTGTGTGTAGTTTGAAAAATAACAAAAATAAAAAAGTAAGAATTACAAAAAAAAAAAAAGAAAAAATTTTTCTCTGCACACTTGTGAAAAGAGAAAATTAAAAAAAAACTTTTTTTTATTTTTTTTTGTTGTAATTTTACAAAGAAATTTTCTTAAGCTCCTTTTTATACGGTGGTAGATTTTTCTTTCAAAAGAAATTTTTTTTTTCTGTTTCTCTTTTTAGGAGAAAAAATGAAGAATATATTTGGAATAATTGTTGTTTTTGCTATTGTTGCTATCGTTACTTCAAAAGATTTTCAGGTAAGATTTTTTATTTTTGCAAAATTATATAAGAAATTTTTTTTTAATACGACGTAGAACGGGGTTATGCTTGGTGTTTCATAAATTTTGTCTAATTCTGTCTTATTAATTCTGCTGTAATTAATAATTGTTCTGTCTGATTTAGACTAATTTAGTTATATTAGTGATGAAGCTCTGTTTCACAAAGCATTTTACAATTTCGTTGCTCTACGAGTTGCGATACTCGAATATTATCATCAAAAATGGGTTGCGAAGATTTAATGTATACCTAGTTTCTGATAATACAATGTTACAGGTGAATGGCTTATATTAATCACACGTTAGAACTTACAATTCTCACTAAAATTTTTAAACTTCAATATATACTGAATTCGTTTGTGTGGAATTTCAGTATATATACCTATAATAGCTTCTTCAAATAAGTTGCATATAAGGTGGCCAATATTTATAATTGCATTTAGTTCAAATATTTTAGAAACTTCGTATATTAACTTAAAATTTTAAATACAGTATTTATATAGTTCCTTGCTTACTAAATTTATCGATCTATTTTTATTTT